GGTCTTATGATCAGTTTCTAATTAAGTTCCATTGGAGTGTTTGCTAGTTTTGCCCCCCAACATTCCTGTCTCCTTTAGAAGGTCTATAGTGTACTTTCTTTGTGACACACTGATCCCTTGGTATGTGCGAGCTACTTCCATCCCTAGAAAATACCTTAGAGGTCCAAGATCCTTGATCTCAAATTCGGCTAACTTCCCTTTCAGCCTAACAATCTCACTTGAGTCATTTCCTGTTAGCACTATATCATCAACATATACAATAAGATTAGTTATCTTATCACCATAGCACTCAACAAATAAAGTATGGTTAGCTTGGCTTTGGCTATAACCCCATTTCTTAATAGCTTTAGTGAAATGTTCAAACCAAGCCCTAGGAGACTGTTTTAGGCCATATAAGGATTTGTAGAGCCTGCACACTTTGTGAGAGTTTTCTAATGTTCTCAACCCTAAAGGAACTTCCATGTACACTTCCTCTTCAAGGTCACCATTTAAAAAGGCATTTTTGACATCTAACTGGTGTAATGGCCAATCTAGATTTGCAGCAAGAGAAAGTAGGATCTTTATAGTGTTGAGTTTTGCTACTAGGGCAAATGTCTCCTGGTAATTAACATCATAGGTTTGAGTAAACCCTCAAGCCACTAACCGGGCTTTATATTTGTTCACACTACCATCAGTACTTACTGCCTACCAACAGTCTTGCCTTTAGGTAAATCAACAATTTTCCAGGTTTTGTTTTTGTACAGAGCCCGTAGTTCTTCTTCTATGGCTGCTTTCCATTTAGGATGAGAAATAGCCTCTTTAAAATTCTTTGTAATAGATTCTCTTTCCACATTCACCACAAACATTTTCAACTTGGGAGATAGTTTTTGATAGGAGACATACCTAGCAATTGGGTGCTGAGTGCAACTCCTCTTTCCCTTCCTCAAGGCAATAGGCCAATGTAAGTCTTCAAGACTTGCCTCAGGTACAGATTCATGGCTTTGCATTGGTGTTTGAGTGGGCTCTTCACCATTAAGCTGCTGTTTAGATGACACCCTAGACTCTTCCTCCCTAGTCTCGAATGGGTTAGGTGTGGCAAGGGATTCAAAGGGATTTGTATGCTGAAAGTCAGATTTGGAAGAGGGACTGGGCAAGGAATTTGGTGAGTTCCAGGACTATTTTCTGCAGTGTTTTCGGTGGAATACTAAGGAGGGACATTTGGTGTGTGAGGAACAGGGGGTAAGAGTGGAACCGTAGCGGAATTGGGTGATGTGAGGGGTTCATAAACTTGCTGTCCAGAACCAGAAAAATCAGAAAATTTATATTGATGATCATTCTTGGTATCACAAATAAGCCATTCACTCACACCTCTCTCCCTCTGAATGGTTAATTTGTTGAAAAAAGGTAGTTCTTCGATAAATTTCACATTCATACTGACATAGACTTTGTTATTGTCAGGACAAAAACACTTGTAGCCTTTTTGATGTGAGGGATATCCTAAAAAAATGGTTTTAATAGCTTTATGTTCTAATTTTTCACAATTATCATTTAAAACATAAGCTATGCACCCAAAGATTTTTTGAGGAATTGTAGTAATAAGAGGTGAATTTGGATAAGTTTTCTGGAGTTTCTGAAGAGGAGTGAGGAATTTTAAAACTTTTGATGGCATTCGATTTATGAGGTATGCAGAAGTTAAAATAGCATCCCCCCAAAATCTGTTTGGCACATTATTTTCAAACATAATTGCTCTTGCGACTTCCAGAAGGTGCTTATTTTTTCTTTCGGACACACCATTTTGCTGTGGTGTATGGACACAAGAAGTTTGATGATGAATTCCATTGTTTTCCAAGTATGTTTGGAATGATATATTTAAATATTCCTTTCCATTGTCACTCCGAAGAACCTTTATTGAACTTTGAAATTGATTTTGAATAAGTTTATGAAATTTTTGAAAAATCCCAAAAACCTCAGATTTTTGCCTCATGAGATAAACCCATGTTAACCGAGTATGATCATTAATAAATGTTACAAACCATTTGGCCTTAGAATTTGTTTCAAACTTTGATAGACTCCAAACATCACTATGTATGAGAGCAAATGGTTGAGTGGGTTTATAAGGATGAGGAGAATAGGTATTTCGAACTTGTTTTGCAAATTGGCAAGTTTTACAATGAAAATTAGATATTGTTTTATTATCAATGCTTGGAAACAAGAATTACATGTAGCGTAGACTAGGGTGGCCTAACCTATATTCCTAAAAGTAGGAAGAGCAGCTTGAGCTTGAGCCTTATTCGGTGGTGATCCGCAAAGGTAGTAGAGCCCATTACCTTTGCATTACCAATCATCTTCCCCAAGGTCAAGTCTTGAAAATTACAGCAATGTTTGTCAAAAATAACAAGGCAATTGATCTGAGAAGCAACCTTTCTTACAGATAGCAGATTGCACTTAATTTCAGGGACATATAGAACATCTTTTAAAACAATCTCATCAGATATATTAATAGTTCCAGATCCCATTACTTTGGCATATTGTCCATTGGCAACTTTAACAATATCATGCTCAGAAAATTCAGAAAATTGAGAGAATAATTCTTTAAGACCTGAGATATGGTCTATTGCTCCAGAATCCACTACCTAAATATTTTTTGTTTTTACTGTACCACTAAGAGCCTTAGTAAGAGCTGTACTTGCTTGTGCTAAAGTGATTGAAGGGGTATTTTTCTCACTTGGTTTAGCCGAGACAGGTGCATGTTTTTCTAAGATTTTTCTTAAAACTTGAAGTTCTTCAGTGCTCAATAACCCCCCCTCGGATTTCCTGAGCTAGCTAATAGCCCTTGCTTCTAATTGGTAGGCTTGCTGTGGAGCTTTCAACAGACCTCCTTGGTGTGACCACCTTTGTTACAATGGTCACATCATCTTTCTGGTTTTTTTCCTTTTGCATCTCCCTAATTCCCTTTGACAACCATTGCTGACATCTCATTAAGAGACTTCGAACCAGTTTGAGTTAGCATCTTTCGACTTTCTTCACAATAGACTAGATTGAATGCCTCCTCTAAGGATGGGAAGGGCTTCATACTCATGATTCTTCCTCGTACCTCTTCAAATCCATCATTCAGGCCAAGCAAAAAATCATAGCACCTTTTTTATCAATGAGTTGCTTATAGTATATTCTATCTTTGGTACAGGACCACTCATAAACCTCGTAAAGGTCAATTTGCTGCCAAAGCTTGATTAGTGCAGTGAAATATTGAGTGACAGTCTTGTCATCTTGAACTAACTGGCGTAGGGTACGTTTTACTTGGATAATAGCCGCTGTATTTTCTCTAACAGCATAAGTCATTTTGGCAGAATCCTAGATTTCCTTCGCTGTAAGTGCAAGCAGATAGCTTTCACTGATATCAGCTGTCATTGAGTTCACCAACCAAGTCATTACCATGTTGTTTTTGGCACTCCAGATTGCAATTTGAGTCTGATCAGCGTCTGAAGGTGGATCCTTAGTCAGATACCTTTCTTTGTTTTTCCCTCGAACAAACATCAAAACGCTTCTGGACCATTGGAGGTAGTTATTTCCATTGAGTCGATGTGTGATCAACACTGGGGGAAGAGAATTAGATGTCACATTCGACATCCTAAGGTGCGACGAGTTGTCTCCACCATGATCCCCTCCGTATGATCCTGAACTAGTCTTGGTTGAGCCCTCCTCGCTTGAAGATGAGCGTGCGCCCTCATCCTCAGTATGGAAGGCTCGTGGCTGAATCATTAGGGCTGCCTTAAACGTCATAGGTTGGACGACCAAGGCTTTGATGCCATGTAATTTCTATGTGGTAACAGCTCGTATATTTCATTGAGAATAGAGTGTTACATATATAGGGAAAAAGAGAGAATAAAATCAGATCTGATTCTACTCCTAGAATCTCGGATAATAAATACAGATTACATGAGAAAATAAGTCCCATGATTTTAGGGATCCTAATCTCACACACATAAGGAAAACTAGGTCACATGATCATAGGCCTATGAAATTGACGGAAAGCCCAAATTTCCTCCAACAATTACTCTTCTATCCAACATTTTTCTTTTCACATGAATTCAAACGAAACTTCCATTCTCTTGCTATAGTCATTCTAGCTTGTTCTATGATGTCCTGACATGGATGGTCCCTCCTTTAGATCGTCGTACTCAGGTTGATTATCTGTGCACAGCCGTGATGATTTAAACAGATTTAAACTTTTGTTCCAACAAAATTCCAACTCTTTTAAGATTCCTTTGATATCAGTTGCCATTGGTGGGTAAGTTTCCAACCTGCAATTGAAACACCTAATCCACTCGATTTTGCTATTCCTTGTGACTCCCCATCATAAGCTTTCCCCGAAGGTATTCACAGATCCATCAACCTATAAAATGTAACGTTTGTCATTTTGACTTTTGCTATTGTGAGTGTTGTCCCTACTTCACCCTTAGAGTGTAGGCATTGGCCAACTGCTTGTCTTGTTAGGCTCTAAACTGATGTAAGCATATGCAGAAGTTTTTAGAAACTAGAAAAATGGCGTGGTTTTTAGGAGCACAAGTTGTAGGTTTTCTGGCACGTAGAGATTTTAGAATATGGCACAGAAACGAACTATGTCTGAGTTTGTGATTGTCTGAAAGTTTAGGCTGTTATGGGCGCCTTTAGCATTATATTTCCCATAAGTGTCACTTTCACTTACTTTAACAGAGTAGAATATTGAAAAGAACAAGATGAACTGACGAAAGGGACATATGAATGAGGTGGTTGTTAAAGATATTCGCTGCACTTGGTGGTTGTTGAAGGTGAACTGATAGCTGAGATTTTATTCTGAAGAAAGTGAATCATTATGCTTTACGTTATGTTGTCTACATTCCCAAAAAATTTAATGAAGTTGGTGGAAGTTTACGTATGGGATTCAACTATTTACACACACACACTGCAAAGGAGTTATTGATATCCGAGTCTGCTGTTACCAGCTATAAAATGCAAGCTTATAACATGCTCTTTTTCTGCAGGTTTGACAAAAGAATCACTGCTTTTGCTGAAGAAAAGTTTCGAAGAGATGGTATAAATGTGAAAACAGGATCCATGGTCGTGAAAGTGTCTGAGAAAGAAATCTCTACTAAAGAAATGAAAAATGGAGGAAAAATTTCTGCTATTCCTTATGGAATGGCTGTCTGGTCAACTGGTATTGGCACTCGTCCGTTCATTAAAGATTTCATGGAGCAAATTGGTCAGGTATGTCCTTGGAATTTTGGCATCATGTTTTTTCTGATTCATATCTCTCTTCTATTGTTTGTATTAGAAATGAAGTTTATTTTCCTATGATATTCACTGAACATTGCCTCTTGGGAACAGGCTAACAGGCGTGCTGTAGCTACAGATGAATGGTTGAGAGTTGAGGGATGCGACAATGTGTATGCACTTGGTGATTGTGCTACAATAAACCAGCGAAAAGTCATGGTACCTAGTACAACGTCTCCATCACTCAAATGATCTTGCTTGCCAGCATGCAAAAGACTAGCTTCTGATATTTCTGTTAAACGCATTCTCTTCAGTGGACTTTTTAATATAATATGGGACCTCACTTTCATTTTTGCAATTCCTTTTAATTTGATTTTCTTTACAGTAAGACATTATGCATAGGCTTTTGTCAATTTAATTTTGGTGAGTACAGACTTTGATAAAATCATTAACTATTAGACATGGAAAGCACATCTTTCCTAATTAACTGTACTTTAACAAGATGAATTTAGTATTAAGATATACTCCCATTGACAATTAGGGGCTGGTATTAAGTGATACAATTACAAGCTATTTTAGGTAGAATTAGCATAGGCACCAACACCAAGACAAAATCTGAAATTTAAAATGTCCGTACTTTATTGATTTCAAGTGCGAATATTCTTTTTGCTCTTCTTAATTTGGGAATTGCATTTCGGCGTTATAGGAAGATATTTCTTCAATCTTTAAGAAGGCTGACAAAGACAATTCAGGAACACTTACGGTCAGAGAGTTTCAAGAGGTCATTGATGATATCTGTGAAAGATACCCTCAGGTTGAGCTATATTTGAAGAATAAGCAGATGAGCAGTATTGCTGATCTTTTGAAGGAATCCAAGGAAGATGGTGAAAATGAATCCGTTGAACTGAATATTGAAGAATTGAAGACCGCACTTTCCAATGTGGATTCTCAGATGAAATTTCTTCCTGCTACTGCACAGGTACATGTCATGTTATTTCACCAGTGGTTAACAGAATCTGCATGATTCTGAGTGCTTAGGAATCTGCTTATCAGGTTGCTTCTCAACAAGGTGCCTACCTAGCCAAGTGTTTCAACCGGATGGAAGAGTGTGAGAGAAATCCAGAGGGTCCTCTCAGATTCAGGGGAGAGGGTCGCCATCGGTTCAAACCCTTTAGGTAAATGAGCTGCAAGTTCTCTGTGTCCAGTCTCTTTTATTTAGCGAGAATACTTTTGAAGCGGTGCGGTAAATATCCTGCGTTGGGACAATTGACTACTGTATCAAGCAGTACTCGTTTTTTCCCCCCCACAAGCATCATGCAGTACTTTTGAAAAATACAAGTTTGTTTAACTTTAATATTTGTACGAAAAATTGTAACAATAATGGTGCAGTATTGTGCAGCGCACATAATTTGAAGAATGAATTGCACTGTTTATAATTCATAAATAATGTAACTTGTTAGAGATAGATTTGCATACTAGTTTTTGCATGAACATAGCAATCCTTTCAGAAAAGCTTGAATTGCTATATCGATTGTTCATGTCTTGCCCAACTCAACATTTACTTTTTATACTGTAAAAATTTTCATGCATCGTAAATATTCTTAAATTCTTAACTCTTAATTTATATAGTAATTTTTTTTTTATTTTGAAAGAATTATGGCCCCTGTAGAGAGGGATTCGTTGCTATGCTCCATAGATAATTACATTTCCTTCTTTGTACATGTTTTACTGTTATCTCTAGGTACAAGCATTTTGGGCAATTTGCTCCTCTTGGAGGGGAGCAGACAGCTGCGCAGCTTCCTGGGGATTGGGTATCAATAGGCCGCAGCACCCAATGGCTATGGTATTCTGTGTATGCAAGGTATTCATTTATTCTCAAAACCCTTTAATTTTTTTTTTTTTTAAAGATAGCATGTAAATATATTGCCCCAGCAACAAAATTATAATGCTGAATCAATCCTTTGAACAGCAAGCAAGTGAGCTGGCGCACTAGGGCCCTAGTGGTATCAGACTGGACAAGACGTTTTATTTTTGGGAGGGACTCAAGTCAAATCTGAGCGACTCTGACGTGTTCCACGGTCTTTCAGTGGTAAAGTTTGCATGCAGAGCTCGTGAAGGAATCTTGAACTTCATTAAAATAACACAAAATCTGCATCACCTAGTAATTTCTTATTCTTTTTTTGATACAAGGTAATTTCTTATTCTTTGAATAATATAACCCAAGCAAACTGAGTCAGAACGAGGCCTCATTCAACTATGAAATGCTCGTATGTGTCCTCCCCCAACTGATCCCTTGGTCCTTTTTTTTTTTTTTTTTCCTGCTAAAGCATAGGTATCCTCTTATTGGAGGTAATTCTATTCGAGATACTGTCGGGTACTAAATGTGAGTACTTCTCCCAATAGGGATTCAAACCTTGATTCGCCAAGTTGTGAGGAACTAGCCCTTTCTGTTAGACCTAACTTTTTAGAGAAATTGAAGCATTAGTGGCTCGCCAACTTTTGCTGTTCGCGGGGCCATGCTAGGTGATATTAGCTTCCTTCCCGGGAATTTCCCAAAAATAAAGATATAGATATTTATTATATTCCTCCTTGAATTACTCGATGGTTGCGGTCTTTTTTCTATTTTCTTTTTTAAATTCAGAGGCATATCATTTGTCTTGTGTTAAATCATTTTTTGATTTCAGTCTGTTTTTCATTTCTTTTGTATTGATACTGTATATTGTTTTTCGCAATGCTTACAGATGATAGCTACTCTTCCTTGAATCATACGTGTCAAATCCAAGAGCGGTTCCCAGCTCATGTTTACAATATCAAAAGTGAATTTTGTTAGAGCCTGATTTTCTTTTTAAAATGGAAGAATCCCAATAAAATAATTTTAACATTCCAAATTCCAAAATGGTCACACTAATTTTCAAAATATCAAATCAATATTCATGATCAAAATAGAATTTTGAAATATTGGTGATTTTATAATATTACCTTTTATTTTAAAACAATGCCAAGCCATCATGGCTAATTGGTGACAGTGACTACTCTTCGAATCCTATTTAGAAATTACTTTTAATATGTTTTACACAGATTAAGAAAAATTTTAAACTTCATTAACTCATTTAAAACTTAATAATTTTATAACTTTATTCCTATTTGATATACATTATACTTTATATAAATAAAGTCAATACAAATTGTGGGTAAAATTGTGCGTACATACAAAAAATTTCTCTTAATGCACTATAAATAGGACAAATGAAGTATGTGTTTTGGGCAAGATGGTTAAGGTGGGATTCTTGGATTCCAAAAAAATTAGTGATCATTGAGCCACCCATTCTCCTTGATATAATGTGAGATAATGTACCAACAAGGGTTGGGTTTAGCAGAAGGCATTAATCCCTCATAATATGGTGAACTAATGTTCGAATTTCCTCTAGGAGAGGTGCCTACATTTAGTGCCTGACATTATTTTGAATACGATTGCCTTCAATAGGAAGATAACTATGTTTTAGTAAAAATAATAATAATAATAATAATGTAAGATAACGTATAAGATAACTATCAAAGTAAATGACCTGTTAAAAATCATTATTTACTATACTAATAACAATATTTATGACATTTTTATCAGGCTTTATCATTTTATTAATGTCATTTACAACTATTATTTTATTATAAATTATGTTTTAAATCATTTACTACACTACTAAAGGTATTTATGACACGTTTATTGAGTTTTACCAGTTCATCAATGCCATTTACAACAATCATTTTACCATTTTTCGGTACTTGGAAAAATACAAGTAATATGGTCGTGTTTAAAATCATAAACTACTATACTAGTGGATTTAAAAGACTTCTGCTGAGTTTTACCACTTTATCAAGGTCATTTGCAACAACTTCTTCACAACTTCAATACTTGAGAAAACACAAGAGGATTATGTTTAAAATCATTTACTATGCTACTAACATCATTATCAAGGTTCACCACTTACATTTGCAACAATAGTTTTACAATTTTAAACTTGGGAAAATACAAGTTTATTCACCACTTAGATTTGCAACAATAGTTTTACAATTTTAAACTTGGGAAAATACAAGTTTAGTGGCTCAAACTGTGGAAATGCTGTAAATACTGCTAATAATGACGTAGCTAATTTAAAATATGATCCTCTCACTAATATGTTTTCAAATGATGAAATTGTACAAAAAAATTGTATTAAATGGAATTGATGAAGTGGTGAAATTCGATAAAAGTGATATAAATGCCATTAGTAGTAGTAAATGATTTTTTTTCCAGTGAACAGTAGTAGTAAATGATTTTAAAACATGACCCTATTGTATCTTTCCAAGTGCTAAAATTGCAAAAAAAAAAAAAAATTATTGTACATGGCGTTAAAAAGTGGAGATTTTGTAAATGTCCTAAATGTCGTTGGTAGTGCAGTAAATAATTTAAAACATGGCCATCTTGCTTGTATTTTTCCAAGCGCTGAAATTGTAAAAACATATTTGTAAAATAACAAGCAAGTTTTAGTTTCCTTTTCAGTTGGGAATTGTGTTGACAAGATACTATGTGATGCTGTGTTCATGATTGCTTGTCATTTATTACTCGTGTGTCCATGGCAATTGGATGGGAGAGCACACCATGATGGTTACAAGAATTCCTACATTTTTGTGCATAACGACCCTCAGACTACTTTCGTACCAATCAAGCCCATCCAAGTATGTGAAGATCAAGTCAAAATTGCAAAAGATTTCAATGAGAGATGAAACCAATGAGAAAAAGAAAGACGAGAAAAGAGTGAGAGAAAAACGGAGTCCTTGTAACACTTATTTTATTACACAATTTTATATCAAGTGGAACTCATTGGAACCATTTCCCAAAAAATTAAGTTAGAAAATTTTGAATTTTTAAATTTAATTTCTCGGTTACTATTCATTGTAACCCCTATTTTAACCAAACTTTGAAAAATCATAACAAATTCTAAAGAAATCGAAATGATATGGTTCCAAGTCCTACTTGAAGCTTGCAATAAACTCTTTAGGAAAAAAAAATACATTTAGAGTATAAACTCAACTCATGTGTGCTCAGTTCCAAAGCTAAAAGTATGAACTATTGAACTGTTAATTTTCATATCTAGACTCCTTCATTTGCTTAAAGTTTTGTATAGTCAAACTTTACCCTAATTAAGTCAACTTTCATCCCTTTTATGCATAACTTGTCAAAATAAGACCATAGCCACCTAAACATAATTTAGCCATATATCATAGCATATAACAAGTAATTTCATATAATTTATAGCCTTCAAAAGTCATTCAAACATCACTCCACAAATATTACGAAACTTGTACATAAGGTTTATTAGAAATTCCATAACATTTTTCTTCATGGAGACACCACTTACTTGCCCTAATGGTGGTATTTAGACATGGAGAGAATGAGATTTCATAGAAATCTCAGTAGTAAAGGATTGCAACAATAATGTTAAGCATGCAAGACATATTACCATTAATTCCACAAAGCATTTCTTTACCACTATGCCATGTAAAAATCATGTCAAATCATTCCAAATCAATACATTAAAGCATTTGGCCAAGGTATAATATGCAAACAAATTAAGCACATTGCCATTAAAAAATTTCAAATACCACTTGGCATATATTCAAAGCATTATATCATGTAATAATCAAGCAAATTAACATTAAAATTGTAAATTCCATGCTACCTCTTTGAGCTTAAGTCACATGGTCTCCTCTCTTAATCCTTGAGCCTTTAATTGCTCACTAAAATAACCTATCAAACAACAAGAATAATGGTGTCCCAAATTGATCATACCATTCATTACATAATTCTTCCTAAAACCCTACCCTTTTTCCATTAATTTAGGGTTTTAGTATCATCAATTTTTTCATAACTCCCATAGGTGTTTCCTACACAATTTTTCATGTAGAATCTATTTTTGAACTTAGATTCATCAAAATCCAATTTCTCCTATCACTTCTCCTCTTGGCCAAATAGGTTACTTTAGGGTTCAAAATTCCATTTTCAATTTTAATGTTTCCAAACACATGTTCTCCTTATATCCCTACACAAAATCGCCTTCTAAATCCATTAGAAGCATCAAAATAACAAAAATCAAACCCTAGGGTATCCATTTTCACTTGGCCAAATACCCCCCTTTCAAACACAAAGTGATATCTTTCGAATAACCAAGTTTAACTACTATCTAACAATCATTTCCAATCCTTTAAACCACATAATAACTCAATATTAATCATAAACCACCAAGAACATTTTGTGAAACACTATCCCTTAGGGTTTCAATCACCAAACTCCACCAAAACCAAGTCTAAAACCATCAAACCATAGAAAATTAAGTACTAGTGATATATATAGACATAAAACCAACTTGCCATGTGTTACAATCTTGGCCCTTGATTTTCATCACATAACACATGTACAAATCTCCTTCATCCTCCCTTGATTTGGTGCCACATGTGAGCTGAGTTGTCCTCCACATTAAATGCAAAATACCACTTGATGGGACACCTAATCATTCACATGTAAAAATTCTACATATTTTATTCAAAAATCCATTCTTCCAGCTATATTCTTCAACAAATTGCATTATTCCATCTAGGTCCTCAATCCTCATAAATGGCACCATTCAAGTCAGAAAAATAGGGAAAAATTGGGCCCCACGAAGCTTAAGGTTAACACATTATGTAATTTTACGTAATTGGTTGAATTTTTCTTAGATCCTGTTAAATTCACTGTCTCCAAAAATTTATTTCCTTGTACCAATAGCTTTCTCTTAATGAGACATGATTCCCCAAATTTTTTCAGATTTTGGCCTACAACTCCTCCAATTGAATTTTCTCAGAAATCAGCCCTTTATTGATAAAAATTCAAGCTTTAAATAATTTAAAGCTTACCTATACATCTCTAGAGGTTGGGAATAATTTTAAAATTTATCATAATCCTTCAAATGATTTTCATAATTTTTTCATGAATTATTGAGGCCCTTATGTATTTTAAATAATTCAATTTGGCCAATTTTCCTTTAATTAGCCAAAATTCCAAGAAAATACAGAAAATTCTAAAATAAATTATTTTCATTCCATTTTCATCTTCCAGGCCTCAAATACTATTCTGTATCCTCTATTCTATTTTTCATGATTTGTGAGAAATTTTCTAGAATTTTTAGTCCACATTCATATCCTGTTCAACATTGATCGGATATTCCAGAAATAACAGTCCGGTCTCGGTCTGATCTCAGTTTAAAAGTTGTGTCGTCTCTCTATTGGCTACCCTACTTAATTTATATTTCTCATTTTCAGGGTTAAAATTAACAAGATATGATAGTCATTTTATTTGCTAAAAAGCAAGAGAATTTTGTAGATACTAATTATTAGTTTTCTAATATTATATCGTCTCTATAGAAACTTGATTATGATGGCTCTTGCACTTGAATCTCGATCTCTGGAAAAAAACTAGGAGCCGCCATCAAAATTTTAATAGGATTATTTTGGAAGCTTTTTATAAAAATATGATCTGTAAAAACTAAGTAGGGTTTGAGAGTCGATTGTATATGAAAAAAGTATT